AATTTGAAGACAATCTATCTATCTAAAATATATCTCTGTATGACCTTGAAAACATACCTAACATGACTATAAGTTTGATTGTTATTGATAACTATTAACTTGTTTTTATTTACTATCCTAAATAGCTTTGAAGGACTAAAACTTTACATTATATTTTTAAATGAGCTGTATAGATACAATATCTTAAACAAGAGTAGAAACATATATACAGTATAACAAAATAACTTTAAATTTGTATCAATATACAAAATTTCATGCCAATGTAAAATATTTGAGACTAGTGGTTGTTCAAAAGTAGAATCAACAATCTACCCTTTTATCCCCATTTTTTCTGCAGAACGTGATCCCTGAATCTAATCTTCTGTATTTAGCTTTCTCCCTGACCATGACCAGTAACAATTTTAACCAACCCCCCTAAACAATGACAAACATCCATAAACCCACCAAATAGCCAAAAAACACCCACCTCACCTCTTGGAAATGTGGACATTGTGTTCTCTAGACTGCTTCCTGATGTCTGGGGGTGCTGGCATCTTTAGGGGACCCTGAGAAAATTAAGACAATGGTAAAGTCCTGGGCAAGCTAGCGGTTATACAGTCTTAATGTGATAGAATAGTGCAGGGCTTACCTGAAGTCTGGGCTGGAGTAGTCTGTGAGACTGGACCATCTCAGCTAGCAGCCTTGAAACTGTTCTGGATGCATAAATCTGAGGAAACCATAACAGAGGCATTATAAGAGGCTAGATCACCTGGGCCACCCATTTTCAATGGTTTCTGGTACCCGTGCTCTGAAAATACACAAACTTTTAAAGGTAATATACGTATCTGCATTAACACAACTATGGAATATACAGTGTGTACAATTCAGTTAAAGATGATTTTTTGTTCTGTGTTTTAGCAGGTAAAAGGCATCTCTCAACTTTATTAGTCCATTTGAACTGCATAACCAAACTGTAATATAAATCTCTATCTATTCATACAAAAGGATGGCATCTAATAATAAGTCATGAGGACTCTGTAGTAAACAAGATTTATCATGTCTCATCTTGTCTCCAAGCTGTTCCCATGAAGACAGATCAGCTTACATGTTACCTGTCCTGTAGTCTTTCTTAGCTTCCTCCCCCATGTCTGTAGCAAAGATACTCAGGAGGTCTCCCCTGGTCAAATCTGATCTCTATTAACCTGGATGGAATCCACAGCCTTTCATTTCCTGTGGCAACAATAGCATAAGCTCTTCCCCCAATGTAATACATTTTTTTTACTCCATTTTAAAGTTAAGTTATTCCTAAAGTACATAGGTTGGCTTAATTCAGCAGTCCCTTCCACAATCCAATGTCTTTCAGCAGCTGTTGTCTTTTCATGAGCATTAAAAAAATTCAAAATTAACAAAACGCCATATAAGGTCCAAACTCTCTATGTTATAATATTATTCATCTTTATGTGGCTTATTCTTTTTTTTTAACTTCACTTCTTTTTTATTATTTTTAAACTATTTTTTATGATTGTCTATATCCCCTTTCTTTTTTTCCCTTAAACCTACACACATTATTAAATATACTGTAACCTGTTTAAAG